CAGTTATTCATGGATCGATACATAGGATTTGTTCATGCTTAGGGGTTTAGTAGAGTCTTCTTCTATACTTACATGTTGATGATAATCCTTTATCCGGTTTTATAAGATTAAAACCTAGGTATCACTAATTCGATGTAGAATAGTGAGGTTCGTTCAAAGGGACCAGCAATACACTCTAATCTTATGGAACACAATTTCAGCTAAGCGATCAAGTGGTTTTAAGTTGTCACGATTAGAAAGCAAATATGTAAATACGGTGTAAGCAATGATAATGAAAGAGTTAGGTCAAGGGATATCTCAGGGATTAGGACATCAAAACCAAGCAATTATTCAGGTTATCAAGTTATGAACCAATCTAGAACTCAACCATAGATTCAAGAGGATCCACTGTCGTGGCATCAACTANTTCAACAAANAATCTAACACCCTAAACTGTCGTTTGAGGTTACAAAGAATGAAGAGCATTAAACGATTAGGGTTGATTTGTTCACGAGTTGCTTTAACTTCAACTTTTGTTGGCTAAAGACAACTCACCCACCTAAGTCAATTCCAGCAATCTACAATACTGTCGTGAGTAGATTCAACCTAAAATCAGAGGCTAAGTGATCAAAGTTAACCTAGGCAATACGATCGACTGTAGGTGGAGATATCGAATGATGTTCAAAACCTATCTATGCTTAGTTATGATTCTCTAATCCCATCGAAAACCCTCAACCTAACAAGAGGACTACTCGCACATATTCAAGCAATCAACAGCAGCAAGAGATGAAAGAAACTTCATCAAATCAAAAGCAAAGAGATTAGGGTTTAGGAAAACTTCGATAAAAACGTGAAAGACAATCTCTAAAACAATGGTTCGAATCCCTCTCTCTCTCTCTCGTGAATCTCCCTTTCGTTGCTGCTGTGTTTCGCGATGATCCTCCGCTGCGTGATGTCTGGCTTGAGTCGTGATGTATGGCCGCTGTGAAAAGATCCAGGGAAAACCCTTTTTAAAGGCCCATTACGGCTGGCCCAAAAATAGGGTTGGAAAATTAGGGTTTTGCAAAAGGCCCATTAATGACTTTGCTGGGAGCAGGTGCTCCCTCTTTTGTACTAGGTGCTCCCTTTCTCCAGAATGTTCAAAAAAGGTCCAACTTCATTTCTTTCTAGCCAAATCCGATTGCAAGTTCCAGTCATTGCTTCCAGCCACTTTTTGTACCTAGAATGACTCGATAGAGAGTGAAAGACTCGATAAAAGCCTACAAAACAAGGGTTAGAATGCGCCAAAAACGCATTATATCACATGTCTTACTCGATTGCTAGTTTAACCAACTGTAATTGAATCTAGATCAATCTTAAGAACTTGAAACAATATCATTGCGAGAGTCGTGTAGGGAATTTTGATTGATTGATTGGAACTAGTATAGATGAGCTTAAACTTTATCACTGCGAGAGTTGTGTTAAATGTTAGGTTAACATATCGAATCTTGGTCTCTTTTATGCATGTTTATCCATCTTGTTATATTGCGAAAGTTGAATATTAGGTTGATAGACATATTAGTCATCTATGCAAAAGTTTGTTGACTATATTGTTAAGTGAATTCGAGTTAGGAATCCCGCTTTGCTAGATTTACTTGCATGAACACGTGAATAAATTGCTCCATGAACCCCTAGATTCCCCTGCTGCCCAACGTTTCTTCATTATTATTTAAAACCAATTTAAATTACCATTTTATCACTTTCAAAACCACTTGTTTGGCTTAGCATAGTTCTTAATTCATATTGCTATTGAGCATTTCTAATTATCTATGGATTCGATCCCTAAGAGCATCACTATCCATGATACCATGGGGGTATC